TAGGTAGATAAAGATATCTTTATTATACCTTATTTACTATAGTAAAGGTTATCCTTTATATTCTAAGTTCTCTAGGTCTAATAATACTAGCTAATTAAAGATATACCTAGATAAGGTATATTAGTATTGAGGTATATCTTTAGCTAGCTAGTATTATTAGACCTAGGGATTCTAGGATTCAAGGGGTAGCCTTTACTATAGTAAATAAGGTATAATAAAGATATCTTTATCTACCTAAGTAGCGAAGCCCTAAACTAATATATCTATAGGGTAACCTAGGGGACATTTTAGTTTCCTTATTACGGCCTAGTAATACGTAGTTCTTACTAAGTACTTTTATAGTATATCGATTTTATAGTATACCCTTATAAACTAATATTCTTATTATATATACCCTTATAAAACCGGGTTTTTATGCTATACCCCTATAAAACACGGTTTTTATACGTCTATATAATATTTATAGTATACCGTATATGTATTATTAGCTATACTATTACTATAAAAGGACTATAACAGGATTATAAAAGGAATACTTATAAGATAATATATTATAATACCTATTATACCCTTTATATACCAAATTCGGCGACTAAATCCTATACCTTTATTAATAGGGTACGGCTATAGCTATACCCGGAAGGTAACGCCTAAAAGATCGCCCGTCTTAAGAATAAGGCCGCTGTATTCAAACGCTTTTTAGCTTATAGACTATTAGTATAGAGCTATATTATAATACTAAAAACAGAGTACTTACTATTATAATATAAAGATAGCTAGCGGCCTTTATTAATATATAGACTATATAGATATATATAAGGCGCTATTACTACTTTCTACTAGCTAGGGGGACTTATTAACTTATTAGACCTAACTACTCTAACGCCCTAGTAATACTATTATAGTATAAAAATAGCTTATAGTCTTATACGGATATCTACTATTAGTACACTAAAAGTATATAGTACTAGTACGTATAGTATTAGTATATACTTAGGCACTTACTATAGTATAAGTAACTACTTTATACTAGCCGGTATAATACTATCTTAATATTATTATAGTTAATATATAGTATATTATGGATTATACGTTATTTATGATAACGATTATTATTATTATTATTATTATTATTACTTCTACTATTATCCTACCTAATTAGCCTTATATTATTATAGCGCTCCTATAAACTATATACTAAAGAATTATATAAAGAAAAGAATAAAGGGGAATTAGAGTACTAAAAGATACTATTATTAGTATACTATAATAATAGTAAGCTTATAGAACCGTAAATAGGAATATAATATATAGATAATCTATAATAAGCTTTATAGTATTATAAAAAAGACGCAGGAATAATAAAACAATCTTATTAGTTATTAATTATTTTACGGTTATAGGCGGAGCCTTACTCTACTTACCTATTACCCGATATAGTAGGCACCTACCTCTTAATAGAGGTAGGATAGCCTACCTTACCTATCTTTTCTATTAATTAAACGGAAAGAATAATAAAGGCGACCCCTAAGGATATAAGGAGACCGAGTATAAAGTACCGTGGCTATTATATAGCGGAGATACTATAATACTCTTATAGCCTTTACTCCTTTATTAGTAATTAGCCTAGGCTAATCTAAACTATGATCTATTACCTTTTCTATTAGCTAATAGTCTAAAAGTATAATCTAGATATATAATAAGGATTAACCGGTATTATATTAGCCTTATAATAGTATTATTCTAATTAAGGAAAAGTATAAAGGTTTTCCCCGGGTTTTTTACTTTATAGCTACTTAAGAATACTATATAGCCTAAATAGGCTTTTATAGACTAGATAGAATAGCGGAGTAAGATAGATAATAATAATAATAATACTACCTATAAAAAGGTAAATAGCTTAAAAAGTATATATATATATATATAAGTATAAAATAAGGTTTATATATAAGTATACTAGTAGTATATATAAGTTTAAATATGAGCTTTTATAGGTTTATTTAGAGCTAAATCCATTTTAATATATAATATATAGTTTTACTATATATATAAGATATTTCTACCTAATAAGCTATTATTTAAACTTTTAATATATATATCTAAGATATTAAAAAGCTTTAATATAAAGATTAAAACTCTTTAATATAACTATTAAAATACTTTGGTATTATAAATTAAACTACTTAATATAGAAGTTAGAATTATTTAACTAAAGTATTATAATAAGTTATCTTAAAGCGTATAGTTATTTTAAAGAGGTATTATTATACTATTATATATATTATATTATATTTATGTATACTTTAAAAAATTAATACACTATTACTATTATATAGGATAAGTTTAGTATATTTAAGTATACTACTAACTATATATTACTTTATACTATTAAGTTATATAGGCACTTTATAATTATATATTATTTTTACAATTTTAATTTATAATATAATATTCATTTCCTCGTGGCTTTTATTATTTAAAAATAAAAGTAAACCTTACTTATTTATAAGGTTATTATTCCGACTCCTCTAAAGTAGGAGTACGGCCCCGTGGCTAGGAGATAGACCGGCTAGCCTCTAACTAAACACGAAGGCTACGCGCCTTCCTCTCCGCGGCGCCTAAGCCGCTCTCAGGATAGCGAAAGCTTACCTAAACTAAGTATCTATTATCCCTCTAGTAAGGGGGGTAAGTCTCCCTATACTAGAGACGATAAAAACCATAGAGCTAACCCAGAGTATATCTAGCTACCTCTTTTATTTTATTGTAGTTATACTATTATAATATTAGTAGAGGATATATATAGAGAAAGCAGGTAATATATATACTACCGTCGCCCTTTATAGGGGCGTATAGGAGTATACTAGTATAACGATAAGCTATACTCTTAGTATCTAAAGAGTAACTTCTTTATTATAGATAAGAGCGTATAGGCGTCGGTAAAATCCTAGTATTAGTATTAGTATAACTACTAATATATTAAGCTATTACACGGATCTAATATACGTGTAGCCTCCTAGTTATTAGCCGAACATAATATACCCTTTACCGCCGCCGCCGATATTAGTGCGTAAGACTATTTAAGATACTTCTTAAGCGAGCTTATAGTGGAGTAGGTAATCGTCTATTTTATTATTAGAAACTATTTAATTATCTTAGAGAACTATAGGGGAATATTTATAATATAGCATAAGCGACTATCCTTAACCTCGTAACGATAGTAGATCTCTCCTGCCGTCACCTTTACTTAACTCTCCTAGATACTATTAGAATTAATCCTAAATCGATCCTGAATTAAATCTAAATAGTAACTTATATCGTTCGTCTTATAGCCTAGGAGTCCTGCGCGACGACCTTACTTATTATTAAGATACCACTAACATTTAGCGGTTTAGGAGTATTTTTTCGCTATAGCGAAAAATATAAGTAATCGAGATAATAAACTAAAGAGTAATTGATGATAAAAAGTGATAGGTATATATAAAGTTAATAAGGTTATGATTATAGATTTATTTATTACTATAAAGTGTAAACTAAAGAACATAATTATAATCTAGCGTTATTATAATTAAGTTACGGAAGCGATTTAGATTTATTTAGGCAGTGATTATTATTACTAGGCTCTTAGCCCGATATATCACGTGATCTGGCTATTATATCCGGAAAACTACCGGAATAGGTCCTGAAACGGTCCTGAAATAATCCAGTTTTAATTCCTTATAGTTATTATTATAGTAGCGATTTAATTTCCCTTCGCTATTATTCCCGCTAACCTTACCCGACTATTAGTATAGGCTTAGCGATTAATAGTCGGGCGAGAAGTAAAGGCTATAGTAATAGTTAGGTTAGATCAGATCTACGCTAATAGGGGGGCAATAGTTAGGTTAGCAGGGGGGGTAATAGTTAGTTGAGCTGTAACCTTAAAGATGGGGGATCTGTTGAATAGACCGTAGTTTTACGGTTACGTAACGGGCACGGATTTGACCGAAGGATTATAACCTCGGTAATCCGGGCGGATACCTGCAGAATCTTTACTATAGAGATTACGGTCTGAGCAGTTCCCCGATAGTCCTGCCTTGTTAGAATTTAAATATAATAATCTTAATTAATTTTTAATCCTATTTTGAATATTCCAGTTATGCTGTATCTAATAATTAAGAGTCTTACTTACTAAGTAACGATATACTCTTTTACCTACCCTACTACTATTAGGAGCTATACTAGCCGAACTAGTATAGTAAACCAAGAACTCTTTATAATCCGACTAAAAGAACTATTTTAATAACCTACCTTCGGCAAGATAAATAAAACTAACCCTATAGTCTATCACACCTATAACGACTAGGAGCTTTAGCGCCGCCGCTATAAATTAGTAGCTTAATTTACCCTTTAATTTTGACCCCATTTTTGACGGTTCCAGTTACGCTGTATCTGACAGTGGCCTGTGCTTCCCGCCTCCGCTTCCATTCCCCTTCTCGAATGTCAACAACTGAACCCTCGTATGGAATGCGGACGTACGTAATTACTTCGTACATCCCACGCCCGTGCCTTTTCCCCATTCCAAAAAAAAACCCCAAGTCCTCTCTCTAGTCGCCGTCATCCTCCAAACCTTCCCCCAGCCGCAAAACAAGCGAACGGCGAACACCGACGACACAACCACATTAACGGGACATGAATCATCTTTAAAGCATCAGCCTTCTGTTTGTTTGCGAATGTGTCACCGGCGTGAACACGCGCGGTAGGGCTGCTCGCCCACCTCCACGACGACTTGAATGCCGTGGTCCCTCTCACGACTTTCGTAACACCACACCTGGCATCAGTATCCAGTGTCCGGTTTCATCGACTCCCTCCCATCTTCATCATCATCGTCATCGCGGCTTTACGATACAACTCTAACGTGTATTCCCATCCCCTCACCGACCTGTGTTGGATTTTGGTGAGAGAATTTTTGGATCCCCCACAGCCGACCTCCTGGACACTCGGTTCCCCGATACAGTTCCATCATGGCTCGTCCCAGGTTACCGTTGTTATACGGCGTGTTCCAATTCTGCTGTCGCCTGGTCCTCGTCGTCATCGAAGTCTGCGCCCTCGCATCCCTCATCACTCTTTCCCGCTATGGGGAGAGCCTGCCTATAGGCTATGTAGCCGTACGTCCGCCGGCCGGCCCCCGTCCCGCTTCTGTTTCCTTTTCCATCACGGCACCGCTCGATCTGCATTATAGATTTCGTTCAAAAATTGACCATTCGTGCCAGGTTCTCTTCGGTATCCTCTTCTCCATGGCCGAAATGGTCACCCTCGCCAACTCGACGCACCAAATCCCCCGTTTCCGCACCGGCATCCTCGTGATACTGGACCTCGTGCTCTGCGCCCTCGGCATGGTCTCCTTCTTCTACTTCATGATCAGCTGCCGCTGGCGCCCCGAGCAAGGCGCCGGCTGGCCCCGACACGACCCGTACCGCGACGAAAAAACCGTTTGGGCGCCCTGGTACGCCTGGCTCCAGCTCGCCGCTGCGCTCCTCCACTTCGTCTACATGATGATGCACTGCGTCGATGCGTGCCGTCAGTCGTCCCGGGATCGGAGGAGACACGAGAGGCGGCGGCATACGCATCGGGTGCAATGGGGTTATTGAGGCGTCGCTGCCTATCTCGGGGGAGCGGAATATGCTGCGGTTATATTAAGGGGATTTAAATGGGAGTTTCGTTGGATGTTTCTGCGGTCGTTTCCCAGGACAGAAGGTGGGCGGCGTGGCGCACGGAGTTTCTGATCCCCGGGGGTTTTTTGTCTTTTCTTTTTTTCTTCTTCTTTTGGCGCTGTTTTCGTTTCGCCATAAATCACTGAAGATATCATCATGGACAGGAACGTGACATAACGATAGAAAAGGAATGGGAAAGTGCAGGGTGGACTGGTAGTCCTTGTCTGCATCCATACCGACCAGCGAGTTCTCAACGATATTTGGACACTGCACGGGCGCCAGAGTCGGTTTATGTGTCTTTACAAGCCGTAAAGTCGCCTAGGAAACTTGCTTTGACAGCAAACGTTATTATATTTTGGTTGTATGGGGAAACGAAGAAGCAGAGGAATATTCCATCTCACCAGCCTCGGAGCGATTTGTCATTAGCCTCAGGTGGCTCCCGGGTGGTATCGCGCTGGCGTCAGGTACGGGCACTACGTGTACTAGAATGGCTTTAGCCTGTGCGGGCGTGCCGTACTCCGTACACTACCTTACCTTCCAATCTACGGAGTAGGGTGGTACAAGTAATTACACCACCGCCTTCCAGAACACGACGTTGGTGAGGCTTATTGGATATTTAGATATGGTAGATTGTGTATCGCAATCGGGAACATGTGAAGAGAAAACCACCCCCAAGGAGCGAAAAGTCTCAAGAAAAAGAGAGGTCGGGCGCATAGACCTCTATATCATGGGCGGAAAGTGGTAGCATGTCACCCGATGTCCCGGGATACGATCCAGTCAATTAAGCTCACGGACATTGCGACGGTCCCGAGACCCTGAACCCTTCCGATATGACGGAAAGCTTCCGTTAACATAGATCCGTAAGGATCATTGGCGGCAGATCGGCCGCTGTCGTGATCTGATCTAGGGGGGAACTTAAATTATGTTCGATGGAAATCGTACGAGGCACGCGGGTTGGTTTGAGGGCAGCGGAGCCTCTTCATAGAAGACGGCCGGCACCGGCATCGGTCTACACCTGAATGCGGAGCGTTGATACGGAATAGTGACCGTTCCGGTTCAATACCTTGCAGGACCGGTCCGTGAACAATGATCGGGTCGATCAGTGCGTATTTAACTTGCAGCCCTTAATATATCACGCAGTATTAGTTCGCGAGTCATGGATATTTCCTCTATAAGGTACTTACCTGTATCGCTGGGGACTAAGGCGACGGGAAGATATAGCGTCGCAATCGGGAGAGCTAAAGTCGAGTCTCTTAATGATCATGAGCCGTGCTACGTCAATCAACTGGAAAGGGCCAAAAGGGGAACAAAGGATGTTAGATTCCCGCCGTCATCCCGCCGAGACAATCCGAGTTCTCCGTTCACTACCTAGGTGCCATTGACGGTCTGTCTTGTTGTGACCTTGGGGATGATATCATTCGGTGGTAGGTACCTACACGCGTAGAATGGGGTGGAAGGGCCTGTTCAGCCCCGGAAGAATCAACATATTATCCGGCAGTCGATTGAGACCACGAGGGCAGTGGCAGCAGCGCGTGTCCGCTGCAACCAGACCGCCAAGATCTATTATTTAAAGACTCAGATTCACTGTGCGGAAGCCATCACTTTTCTTGGTATTCTCTCGAGGAACGAGTAGGTATATAAGGCGTGCAGCAGGTTGTATGACCAACTGGGGGCAACCCATTGCGACTGAAATGTTTCTTCCTGCAAAGCCACCGATAAGGCGAGCGCACGGGCCACAAGCGCATGTGTGGCGCTTGTGGCCCGTGCACCCAGGCTGACCTTGACCATTCGACGGCAAATGAGTCCCTACCTTATTGAGAACGATGTTGGTTTGCAGGTTCGGCAAAAGATCAGGAAGTGTTGGGTTCAAGGACGGAGGAACGAAGGAACTAGAGCTGGGTCCATTTTTCCTTGGACATTATTACATCATCAGGCGGCTGATACACCAAGGTGAGGACGGGAATTCTGGCAAGCTTCCTGTCGCACGTCAAAATAGCACTTATATGATTAACTTGATGGAGCAGAAATCCCGTGTGTGTGTATTATGTTAAGTTATATCTATAGGAGTCTCTTATGCCCTTAATTTGGGTGGTGAAGACTCTATTATAGGTACTATATCATTTAGATCATATCCAGTCTTCTCCGGTATCCGCCCCTATTATATCCTAATACCCGAGGTCCCCGAGATCTAAAGCCCTTAGTTAGGTATAGATCCCGTAAGGACTATATCGTGGTCTATATACCTATACGGGTGCCCTTAGTTAAGGTGGGTTCGTGCTTCGTTTCAAAGACCGGAAACTTTCTTTCCTCTGCCAAACCCTGAATTCTCACAATAGCTTACGAGGATGTCTTTCGTACTATCCGATGTTGATATTTCTAATGCCGAGAGTCTCTCACGGTATGTTGAGGTTCCCGCAATATGGAATACACCCCTGTTCCGGGTAATGTTTCCTTCCGCAGAGAACATGCACGAAACCGAAAGGGATGAAGTGGTCCGCTGGTACGCCGATATGTTAAGAGATGCGCCGAAAAATCGAGCAGAAACCTTTCTCCAGGCTTTTATTGATGGAATCCCTGTTGGGCTCTGTGCCTGGACTACTATCGAACGACGTCGAGAGATGGAGAGCGCTGGGCAGCTTTCCAAAGATCCCTCCCGACGAAGTGCGAATACGAAAAACTGGCTTCCATTGACTCTGGATGTGGATGGCTGGCTTTCTCTGTCAAAAGAATTGAAGATGGAGCGTGAGCGGATCCTAAAGGATCTTGATAATATTTGCCGTATGTTGACTCTACTGAACGATCGAGTGGCGTGCTGATATATGAATTCTAGGCTTGACTATCATGTCGGTGAATCCGGACCATCAGCGGCGAGGGATTGGCTCGGCGTTCATGCAGCGGATTTGTGGAGAGATAAACTTGCATGGACGGCACGCATTTGTGCTGGCAGCACCTGAAGGTGTCCCACTGTATGCCAAGTTTGGCTTCAAAGTCATCGGCCATGTCGACTCTCCCCATGGCATGATCTCAAGCATGTTTCGGCCATCCCGCAATCGCACAACGTCATCGACGGCGCCCATCCGTTAGCGAAGCGACGAGGAGTCTCCTCCATCGATGTCTATCCCAAGATGCAGAGACCCGGCGAGCTCAATTTGTTACACAGTCTGAAAAGCAAGGGCAGCAGCTCACGGCCAGTTCATCAAGACCTATCCGCATCCGATAATGCTGACCCCGACCCAGCTACAGAGCGAAACTCCTCCGTCAGGGCGCGATTGGATTTTCGGGGACACTCTGTCATCTAACGGCAGCGGAGAATCGGGCGTTTCCAGCGGCCCTGTTCGCACCGACCCCGGCGCGGCGACAGCACCCCGGAGTTTTAACTGCCCCTCCGATTCGGAACCTGGTGGGGTGGGCAGTGTGATCAGTAAGTTTACCGAGCCACGCGACGAGAACGGGTCATTCCTAGCGCCGGCTGCTCGGTCTCACCTACAGTTGCTTGGCACAGGGCGCAGGGGCACTTTGTCGTCTGATGTCGGTCCTGGCGTTTGCGACGGTAGTGCAGAATTAGGAATGGACGACTTTGGTGAATGGGCCGAATATTACAATGCTGCCTGCGACGAGGAGAGAACAGAGGACCAGCCCACTCAGAAATTTGCGCCGGTGACGCCACAGCATGCAGAGCCTTGGGCGTCTTTTCCACACCAAGACGGTGAAGGGGTCATTCACAATCAAGCCATAAAGTAGATAATTCCAGGACGTTTGATATCTCTCTTTTCACAAACTTTTTCATTTGGGTTAAATAGGCAGCGCGGGGCCAATGTCTTGAGGAACGAAAGGTTCTTTGCAAATTGATCGATTGGGACGTTACGTGTGGACTGGGCTTTAGCCCTTATTCGGGTGTACTAGCATATGAAGCGAGCGAGCGACCGAGACAACTCACAGCCTTCAACACCTAGCATAAAGCCTGCTTGAGAACGAGACTCTACCATGGCTGATTCCAAACCCCCATGGGATGGTTCATCTCAAACCAACTTTCGCGGGGTGACGGCGAGCGGCGTATCTTTACCATCATCTTCTGTCGTTCCGCCTTCTCCTTCTCCCGATCGCGCCAGATGCCGACGAACTCGAACACTTCCGGAGCAGTGGGCGGGGGAGCTGTAGAGCTTGCACCGTAAGGCTTCATGAACACCATTTCCCGAGAGACCCTCAGCTTCAGGTAACCGTTGCCGATGAACATAAACGACAGCTCATACTTGCCATCGCAGCTCTTCACCTTGACAACCCTCCGGCTCGCGCGGTTCGGAGGGCGGAACGGCCCAAAGCTGCAGTTGGCATTCGCATCGAGATACACGTCTCCACCATGTCAGTCTCGCCGCCGGGCTTCTGTTTGGTCAGACGGGGATTATCTGTGCCGTCGTCCGTGCCGTCGAGGTTGTAAAAGTCAACCCGTTTGGTCGCATAGAAATCGGAGTAGAAATGGTTGATATGATTGCTGCAGAACAGCCTAAACCCCTGGCCCCCAAGTGATTCGATAGGGATAGTCTTGTGTTCCTTCTCGGCCTTCCTGAAAGATCCGTATGCGGCACGAACCTCCTCTTCCTTAGTCCTCTCAATTTGTTGTTCTGGGTCTTTCTCCTTCCGCTCCCGCAGCTTCTCCCACTTCCTTTCCTCGCGCTCTTCTTTCAGCTCGTAGTAGTCGTCGGCGTCAGATCCGTCGTACGATCTCTCCGACTCGTCGTCCATATCATCGCCGTCCTCAAACTGGCAGTCGCACTCGGGGTCCCTGCCGCGGCACTCGCAGTCCTCCCCCTCCTCCTCCTTGAGCTGCTCGGCATCGTCTCTCTGTTCGTTGTCCTCTTCCAGCTCTGAAAGATCCTCATCAAAGTCGTAGCATTCCATTCTCTGTCGTCGTTAAATCTGCCAGCCTGGACTCGATAACACCATGACGGGAGAATGCGGCTGTCTCTCTGTGCGCGAGACTTTTCAACGCGCGAGGGCCCTGCCCGTAGAGGATCGGCCTGCTTCGCAAGCTTGCCCATCGTCGTTGATGGCCAGAGCTGCTTCCTGTTCGGTTGTGCCTTGAGGAACGAAAGGTTCTTCCTTCCGCGCCATCCTTCGTAAACTCGGCCCGCCAAACGGTCCGTGCGAGATACCTGCCCCACAATCTCCACCACGATCTCTGCGCCATTTTTCTTTTTGGTGAGCCACCGCGCGCGCCACGGCAATATGCAGCCCCACTCAGCCGGCCCAGCTTTGCAATCGCAAGGGTCTATAAAATATTCAAAAGCCAACGGGTCGAGGACGACCTCGCGATCGACTGCTCTACTGTGCGGCTCCAGGCGGTGCCACCGTGGAAGGTCTTTCGCAACGAAGGGTGCTTCGGAGACGGTTTCGAGGACATTATAGAAGACGGAGGAGATGAAATACCCTGGTCTGATAGTGATATTTACCGCAAAGTGCGTTTTAAACTACAAGAAAACGGGTGACGGGACATACATCACAGGCACCGCATCTCCCAAGAGCGGGTTTGGGACGCGATGGAACACGACATTCGGCGGCGATACGCAGATGTGTGGTACTTGTGCTGCGGGGGTGAGGGCTGGAATACGTTTATGCGCGCTTCCTTGTGTTCCGTTATTGGCTTCAAATTCTCTTTCTGCGTCTGCTTACCGACTTCCTGTAAGAAGCTCGTTACCTTTGAGGCTGATTCGTGACAACAGGCACCCACGCCGTATAAAGCCGAGTGTTGTCGCGATCGAGAAGAACGTTGAAATGTTCGTCGGCTGTGTGACGAGGCCTATGGCATTTCATGGTGGCCGATGACTTGCTCTCCCTGCTGGGCTATCGACAGCCGCTGCCGAACCGTGTCTATTCAGAATTAAGGAAAATCTCCGGGTTAACGCGGCTCGGCGCATTCCGCCAATGACGTCATGGCTCCGCTGTCGACTCGGGAGTTTAAAGGGAAAACTCTGAAGTTGCCCTCTATCGTTAAGAGGTATCGTATCAGTACTTCATAGTATTACTTTACTGACCGTCTGCGGAACCCTATTTTTACTAAGACAATTACGGAGATAATACTCTGTACTCACCTATAACGTATTAACGTACGGAGTCAAATGAAATTTCCGTTTATTATTTTTGTTTTTGTTTTAATTTTTTTTTTTTTTTTTATATATACTTTTCTTCTGCCTTTTCTCTTCCGCCGGGGCCCCGATATGGCATGCCGGGACGGGGTGGCTTGTTTAGCCAAGACGCCACACCACTGGTTAGTCTACGTTGTACGTTGTACATAGGACCGCCCCCACTGTGATGGGGAACTGTTGAATTGACGGGAGTATGCTTACAGGGAGCGTTGATTCAGGAAATGTATGATTGTATTATCTATAAAAGAGAAAGAAAAAGGGGGCGGGTATATATGTCCTAAATATATCTACTACCTTCTAAGCGAGGATAGTAGGGCACTTCTAACTAATAGGAGAGTATTATACCGTGGCTTACGTGATAGAATATAATATACCCTTTAATTATTACGCCGTGATTAGCGGAACGATTACTTAGCCTAACCTTAACCTAGCCTTATTTTTAACCTTAAAACAGTCTTAAAGGGCTATATAATACCCTTAATATCGAGTTAAAAGGCAGGAATAAAAGCTATAAAATAATAATATTATTATTATTTATTACGCTATTCTCGCTTAGCTAAGCTAGGCTAGCCACCTAGGTAATAGTCCTTCTCTAATTCTCGAGGGAAAACCGTTAATAGATAAAAACCCTTACGCTCTTATTGTATAGGTAGTTCTATCGTGTATAGCCGCTACGGTATCGCTCTGCGGCCCCGTTTTTATCGCTATTCGAAAACCGGATCTTACCTCCGGGCTAATAGCTAATAGGGGTCGGCTAGTTAGTTTAGTAGGTGCTATATCGGTCGCACGCGCCCTCGGTACGCTATCGCCACGGTCCCTTACCGCCGTCCTTTCCTTTATTCCGGATCCAGCGAGGTTATTCTTCCCTCGCCGCGGTACCTTTTATACCCTCCCTCCCTTCTATAGGGGGGGGGGGGTACGCCTACCCCCCCTTACTCCTTCCTTTATTTATTATTTATTCTAAAACCTTCTTTATATACCTGCTATTTATAGTAGCCCTTATTTAGTTATATGCCTCCCTTACTCGCGCTGCGTAAGCTCTCCGGGGTAAGCGTTATAGTATAGGCCGGGCGTGGCTACCGTTCCCTAGAAGGCGTGGTGACTCGTAGGGCTAATCTGCCGCTCCCTTTTCTTATAACCCTCCCTCTTTTCCTCTCTTTTCCTCCTTTC